AAGTTCAATTGAATGTTTCTGAAATTCAGTTGATAATGTGAAAGTTTATGTTAAGCTGGCAGTGGAACTGAATCTAACGAGTTACGATGTTGGAGTAATTGGTGTAATCTGTTTAATCTTTTGTTTGCCTCACTATGTTTTTGCTGTGCAATTATTTTTTATTATTCGGATAAATTTCTCAATATTTTATCTGCCTAACTGTTTTAACATTGTGGATGATTGTGTTATTTGATAAATTTCTCCAATGGGGAAGGTTAAGAACCTAGATACTTTCAATTTGGAAATTGGGTGTCTAATAGTTTCTGTGTCGTGTTTTGCAGACATCATGATCGTTATCATCTATCGATAGTTCAAAAGTCGCTGCTTATGCATTGTGAACTTTTTTTTTTTGTATATTTGATTTTCTCTTCATTGTTTTCTTCCCCTTTTACTCATCTAAAATTTACTTTTTTTTTGTGATTGCAGGTGGAGAAAGTTGGGCTTTTTCCTCTTCAACATTGCTGCAATGCTCTAAGATATGGTATATTTTATTTCATGCACTAATAAAAAGTTTACTTTAATGCACTGTGATTTTTTATATTTTTTAATCAAGTTTTGATTGTGATTTTCCTGGTTATTCATTACTTGGATGCTCTTTCATGAGCTTCCTTTTCCATTCATTAAGGAGAATGCCTGATTTCTTTATTTGCTTTGCATCTCTATGCCATTAAATGTTGGATCTGTTTTTGATAGTTTTGTGTGTATTTAGTTGCTGGGTTTCCAGCCACAAATGACCAAAGCATTGTAAGTCATCAAGGATTTCCATTATTTTAGATTATTGTTTCTAAGTGCCTTTTCCTCATGTCTTTGCATAAATTTTGCCTTTTCATTTTTCTTTTGCTAGAGTACAAGTTTTTCATTAAAATTTTGCTAATTTTGTTCTGAGGGGATTGGCTTGTGTATCTGATAGGATGACATTTTGAGGATATAATATAAATTATATTAAAGTTAGTTCACCACCAAAATGGCTTTTCTTCTCTTCTTTCCTGCCATTCAAGAGGTTTTTTTTTATTGTCAATGGAGCTTTTTTCTTCCCTTCTTCGTACCTTTTGGCTGGCTTTCATGGTACAGTTTAGTAGTACAAAATGCAATAAATCTCTTGGTAAAACTTCTTAGTTATATATTTCATGAATCTGAACTGTACAAGCTAACCAATTGCTTTCAACCCTATGTCAATTTTCACTAAATTACAAGGACTAGCATAATTTTACTGATCTGATTGTTTCAATTTGGATGGTCAAATTTTTTCTTATTGGATGGGATAATCTGAAATTTAGAAATCGTATGCAGGCGTGGAATATACTTGGCAATGGATGGACTAAAATTGTTAGAGTTGTTTTAGGCAGGTAACGGGAATTAATTCATGGTAAATGATCTACTTATTTAGTGTTTTAATATTTGCCTTGCGTTAATGCCTAGATGTTTGAACATCCATTTAAGCCATTGGCAATTTGCGATTGATTAAACAAAATCTGTGCAAGCTTAAAAAATATGTTTGCAACTCCTGTTTTTAAGTGCCATGAGTCTCTGATTATTGATTCTGTCTAACCATATAGAAAAATGGAACTAATAAAATAGCTATATTTGCATTACCATATTGCTATAAGTAAGAGTAGCATGCTTGAGAAGTCAATGGAATTCCTTCCCTAAGATACTTGCATCTTGTGTCTTACCTGTATATTATAGTATAACTCATCCAAGAATAGTCTATTCTATGCTGGGGAACATTTATGATACTTGGAGATTACTTTTGATGTCATTTTCTGAAGATAACATAATATTGCCTTTTGCTGATATTTGTCACTCTCAGATGCTCCAAGAGAGCTCTAACATTTATTTTTGCAGTAAATTATGGGATTGTATTATTGTACTGTTTAGGTTGATTAATGGATGCTTCTTACCCTTTTGACCGTTGAATCTTTTTTTGAAATTCCATCAGTTTTTTGAGATGCCTAATGAATCTATTCAAACCGTTTGTTATAATCTAACTGAGCTGGTCCGCTGATAATAATGTTTCTAAACCTGGAATTTTTTTAAATTTTATTTTTTTAATGTTGTTTCATAGTTCTTTGAATTGAAAGGATTTTGGCTGGCTTTAGCATCACTTGATAAACAGGACCTTTCTCTAGGCAACAAGCCTTTTATGATTTTTATGAAGTTGGCAAAATATTAGAACTTTCCAGGAATTTTCAATCTCTTATATTGTGACGTGGAGAAGATTATAGTTGCTAAGTGTGATTTATAGTTGTCTTTCTTTTGTGGGTCTTTTATTTTCTCAATTCTTAAAGAGAATCCCTGCTTAAAGTCTCCATTTTTCCTTTGTTTCCAGCCTTCAAGCATGACAATGGAAGCGTGCACAAAGAGAAGCACCAAAGATGGTGATAAATCCACACTGGTACAGGCGGTTAACAAAACCCGAACTGCTTCAATTTTTTAAATTCGCTCAGTTAAAGAACAATTGCTACTCAAATTGATGTTAATTCAAAAATAGTAACTATGATATGAAAGCAAGTATTATGATATACTGCTACATCACTTATCTCTTGATGCACTATATGTATATATGAATACATGAGAAATATGTGATCCAATAACAATCCAAAAAAAATAATAAAAATAAAATTGTCAAAAAATCTAATGAAAAAGGAATTATAATCTTTTTGAACTTAATAATGGTAAAAAATACGTTGTAAAACCGAATGGAAAAAGAGCTAGAATCTTAATGGTAAACAATCTGCCTAGTAACAAATCCAAAATATATCTTTTGAAGCAGGCTCCAAGTATCTGCACATCTGCGGTCAAGGCTTTGTCATTCATGGTAGAAGTAAAATAAACAATGCTCACGCAAATGTATAGAGAGCAGCAACAATGGCCTAAAGATTGATTGGTCTCTTTACTTATTTGATCATTCCTTTGTTGTATTTGTTTTCTATGAGAGTTCTATCATTTTCATCTAAATTATGTGTTTCTTGGATTATCAAGTTTTTGGTTTCAACAATATATCACACTATTAGATAACATCATCCTTAATTTTTATAATATAATATAAGGTTTGGTTCTAACATCATCCTTAATTTTTATCCCAAGATTGCTATTTTTATATTTCCTTTCCTTTTTTTTCCCCTTTCTTTTACTCAATCTTAGGAATTAAGCATTCTGAAATTCAAATCCCATGTCTACTCTTTTTTTTTTTAGCTAACAATTTTTTATAAATAGTTATTAATTAGTAGTTATTGATAAGGCTGCTGGAATTAACTCTCCAGAATTCAAATGCCATGCTTACTTTTTATTTTTTTTTGGTACTAACAATATTTGGTGTTTTCTTTCCATCACATTGTTTCCTTCTTCTTTTTTTTTAAGTGGTTATTATTTTTTTTAATACTTGCTGATAATGTCACATAAATTAGCTAACTTGACGTCGAATCCAATGCCAATTTTTTTTCTTTTTTTTTTTTACTTAAAATATTTGTTATTTTCCTAGGGTTTCAGTTTCTTTATACTAATAATAATATTACTATAGTAGATTATGGAATAGTGCTGTTGTGTTTAATAAATTGTTATTAATTAGTAGTTATTGATAAGGCTGCAGGAATTAAGTTTCCTAAATTCAAATCCCAGGCTTACATTTTTTTATACTAACGATATTTTTTCACTTACAGTAATTTTCCCAAAGTTGCCGTTTTTTTCAACAATAATAATACTATTATTATAGTAGAATATAAAATTGTGTTGTTATGTTGTTTCTTCGCTTTTTCTTTATTAGTAGCTAATTAATGAAAAATAACGCTGTAGAAATTAAGTATTTCTAGGGAAAGAAAAACACTTGCCGATTTCTTTTTTTTTTAAACTACAGTATTTTCTTTTTTTACAAGGTTGTTGCTTTTTTATAATATTGCTTTTTTTACAGTATTTTCTTTATTATGTTTTCTTGCATCGGGATACTCAGTTCATGCACGCATCAATAGCTACTAATTAGTAACTACTTAAAAAAAAAGAAAACTTTGGGTAAAAAAAGAGAATAAAAGAAGGGAAAAAAAGGGAAAGGATACTGTATAATAGAGTATCCTTTCCCTTTTTTTATAGTTATTATTATAATAGAGTATCCTTTCCCTTTTTTTCCCTTCTTCCCTTTTTTTCCCTTCTTTTATTCTCTTTTTTTACCCAAAGTTTTCTTTTTTTTAAAGTAGTTACTAATTAGTAGCTATTGATGCGCGCATGAACTGAGTATCCCGATGCAAGAAAACATAATACTATTCTTCTTTCTGTTATGTGAACAACTAATTAAATACTTTAAAAGTCTTTATATAATAAGCCGATAGAATGTGGATTTAGTATATAAGTGTGTAAATTTAGTTCTTCCCTTATAGTTCTTTCAAACAAAATTTAGAAATTAAATATAAATCAAATATCCAATTATTCTGACCCACACAATATACATATAGGCATAACCAAATACGCATATTAGTAAATCCAAATATATATTACAAAATAACTAATCCAATTTTTATACCTCATTTCAACAAATGATTTAATAAGTATCTCCATCCAAAAAATAATATCCGCACAGATGAAATTTGCATCCTTTTTAATGAAACTCCTTCTTATCCATTACTATGCCATTCACTCTTTTTTATTATGACACTATAGTACTATACCGCCGTAGTTCCATGTATTAGCCCTAAAGATTTGAAACCCTATTTATTATATATTTAATAATTATATCACCTTAGTTGCATTCATTATACATAGGGATACAAACGAATTGATCTGCTCGCGCGAGCAGCTCGGTCAACGTTCGAGTCGAGCTCGAGCAGCTCGTTTATAACACGAGTCGAGTTCGAGTCATGTGTATGAAAGTCCGAGCGGCTCACGAGCAGTAGGAAATTACATAAATATCTCTACTTATATAACTAATTACTAATTAGAAACTAGATAACAAAATTTCTCCAAGGACCAAGACAGTGGAGGACGGTGGACCCAAAGTCACAAACACATCTCCTTCTTCCCACTCGGCTATTCTGCTGTCGGCATTCTTCTTTCCCCAAATCAAAAGCAAGCCGTAGCCGCCGCTACCACTGTCTTCAAGGCTCAAGCCACTTCTGCCACCACCACTGCCGGCCTTCAATTGAAGAGCCCTTTCTTTCCGACTCCCAGTTTGTTGGCCACTTCTGCCACCACTGCCGCCATTTCTCTCCGACTCCCAGTTAGAAGCTACGGTAGGCAAAGCGAACAATCTCCGACTCCCACCACTGCCGCCCTCTCCAACGCCCATTTCATCAGCTCTATTGGTGGAGGGCCTCGCGAACAGGCAAAGCGAACAGGTTGCCCTTTCTCTTCTTCCCTGATTAATTTCCTCTTTCCTGTTAATGGCGACAGAGCTTTCGTTAGAATTAGATCGCCTCTTCTTTCCCATTTCGATCCCCAATTTCTCTCAATTTATTTAGAATTTATTTGGACTTTCGCATGTATTGAATTGTTTTCTATATCATGATCGGTGAATTGAGATTGTACTGATTATTGATTGGAAGAAGGCTTTCTGTCAATGTACTTTTTCTCCTTTTTTTTTTGAATTTGGATCTGTTATTATTATTAGGGACTGTTTTTTGAAGATTGGTAAGAATATTGGGTTTCTTTTCTTAACTTCTTACATACATTTTCATGGAATATACCTTCTGTTTGATTGAAATATTTTTGGTTTGTAGTTTTTGATTGTTCACTTTTTATTTTCTCATTCTGGGGTAATTTTTAGCTTGTCCTGTTAGAAAATGCAAGCTGGATGGATTGCGTTTAAAAATTATGTGCTTAGTGACAGAAATTTTCGAGCCAATTTGAGCTCTTGTTGAGTTGAGTAAATCAAGCCTTATTGAGTCGAACTTGAGCCAGCTTCTTACTTATTCGAGTCGAGCTCGAGCTCAATTTTCTCGAGCTCGTGTACAGTAATCAAGCCTGACTCGATAAGTTCAATGTTTGACTCGGTTCGGCTCGTTTGCACCCCTAATTATACAAAACACAAAAATCCATAAATTACATGAATATCAACTCATTGTGCGCATCACTTAAATTGCGCACGGTGCTCTTCTGCTAGTTTTTTCAAAAAGGGGTATCCTTTTTCTGATGTCATTTGAAGCCAACACACCCAAAAACGGATGCAAGTCTTAAACCAAAGAAACATGGGACAGATGGCTATTTGCTTTCTTTTTTAGCTTATCTTTGAGAAAATTGTCAAAAATTCTTTCAAGGACAAACAAGTAAATAGGAGTATTTTCAATACGTGTGTAGATTATCAAGAACAAAACCACAAACAGAAGATATTTACTTCGGTTGCATTGCAGGAGTAAAAACCACAAACGAATAGTCTTAAGTTTGATAACTATGTTAATTGTGTGTGTGTTAATTGTTTGATATTGCTCTTATGTTAATTGTGGTTTAGCATTTATATCTTGTTCTGTGCATAGGTGTGTGTCTATATATATATATATATATATATATATATTTATTTGTTTATTTATTTATTGAACTGGGGTTGAACCGGTCCGACCGGTTGAACCTCGACCCTTTCACTTCACAGGTTCAATTGACGGTCCGGGTTTTAAAACATTGCAATTCTCTGAATCTTCTTCTTCTACTTTTCTAATTTCCCTCCCAATTCCAAAACTGGTCCATCAGGATCCTGACACTGCAGCTCCAGCACTGTCTGCTCGGCTGTTCCGCCACTATGATTCACAAAGTCACAACCGATGCTCATATGAATTTGATCCGCCGATACTCATCCGCTTGTCTCGACCCCTTACCATCAACATTATCATCTGCTTATACGGCATCAATCTTATCACTTTTAAAACGGTGCAAGACCATCCGAAGCTTAGAGCAAGTCCACCCTCACATCATCCACAAGGGCTGCGAGCAGGATCCCTTTTTGATTACCCAATTTCTGTCCCTCTGCATCGCTCTCTCTTCTGACCTCTCCTACCCTACCGCTGTTTTCGAACGCGCCATTCAGCCTAATATTTATCTTTGGAACACCCTACTCAAGGGCTACTGTAGACATTCCTCTTTGGTCAATTCATTTTCGCTTTTCAATCGGATGAAAAAGTCTACGAATGCAAGCCCGGATAAGTATACTTTCCCGCCGTTGATCAACAAGTGTGCTAATGTTTTGGCATTGAGGGAAGGGCGGATTCTCCACGGGTCAATAGTAAGGTGTGGTATTGAAACTGATGTGTACGTGGGTTCCAGCTTAGTTGACTTCTATGGCAAGTGCAAGGAGATCGAGTGCTCCCGGAAGATGTTTGATATTATGCCCGTTAGAAACGAAGTCTCTTGGACGGCTATGCTTGTTGGCTATCTGAATGTCGGAGAGGCATTGGAGGCGAAGAACTTGTTTGATAAAATGACTAATAGGAATTTAGCATCCTGGAATGCGATGATTAGTGGCTTTGTTAGATTCAGTGATTTGAGGAGTGCTAGGGAATTATTCAATGAGATGCCCGTGAAGAATGCAATTTCCTATACCACTATGATTAATGGGTATGCCAAGGCCGGTGCCATGGTGTCTGCAAGAATGTTATTCGAGCAATCAGATGAAAAAGATATTGTATCCTGGTCTGCCTTGATATCCGGGTATGCCCAGAATGGACAGCCCAGCGAGGCGATACAGATGTTTTACAGGATGCAGTGTAGGAGCGTCAAATCGGATGAGTTCACTATGGTGAGCTTGATGTCTGCTTGTTCCCAATTGGGTTGTTTGGAATTAGCAAAAATAATTGATTCTTATATGCATCAAAGCTCATTTGATCTCAAGCGTGTTCAAGTTGCTGCAGCTCTCATAGATATGAATGCCAAGTGTGGGAACATGGACAGAGCATCAACCTTGTTTGAGCAAATGCCCACGCATGATGTGATCTCATACTGCTCAATGATACAGGGTCTATCCATTCATGGGAGTGGTCCACAGGCTGTGGCACTGTTTGAAAGGATGCTAAAGGAAGGACTTGTGCCTGATACTACAGCCTTTACGGTAATTCTAACAGCTTGCAGTCATGCTGGTCTCATTAAGGAAGGTTGCCATTATTTTGACTCTATGGTTAATGAATTCTCTCTTGAGCCTTCTCCGGATCAGTATGCATGCCTCATTGACCTTCTTGGTCGATCAGGAAAGCTTAAAGATGCTTACGACATTCTTAAGTCAATGCCCGTAAAGCCTCATGCTGGTGCTTGGGGTGCACTTCTTGGCGCTTGCAAGCTTCATTGTGACCTTGAATTGGGGGAGGAGGTAGCATGTAGACTAATTGAGCTTGAGCCCTTAAATGCTGGGAATTATGTGTTGTTATCAGACATCTATGCTGCTGCAAATAAATGGTTGGATGTTTCACTTTTGAGGCTCAAAATTAGGGAGAAAGGACTCAAGAAAATTCCCGGTTGTAGTTGGATATGAAGTAGAAAATCTTGGTTTATTGAAGTTACTTTTTCCACAAAAAAGACTGGGACTAAGGTCTTTAATCATCAGACACCAGCAGAAGCTCAATACCAAGGAAGATAGCCAGTTGTAGTTGAGTATGAAGTATAAAATCTTAGTATAAAGACATTAGCTTTTCTAGAAAGAAGCTTGGGACTGAGTTCTTCACTCATTAGATGCCCTCAGAAGCTCAATACTGAATTTAAAATTGCTGGCTGCTAGGATTCAAAATATCAATTTTGAGAACATCTGAGGTTTGTTCTGCTGGGAGTTTGGATATTAACACTCTGACCAGGAAGGGACATACAATTTGTGAATATTGAGTAGGTTATGTTTTCTGACATGATTAATCCGAGCAGGCAATCTTGTCAATCTGTGAGGGTTGCTCATTTAGTGTTAGAATTCCAGAATTTGACTTATGAGGGTTCAGGAATGATGACTCTAAAGTCTAATAAATTCTTCAGTGACAAAAATTTGGTCAAATGTATGCTACTTCAGTGCTTTTTCTTGTTATCTTTTACATTTGTGCAGTTTTTCGAAAATCTTCTCTCTTTTTCTGTATGCACATTTGAAATTACTCATTTGTTGCACCCTTTTCAGTATAGTTTCAATATTGTGTTCTCTGCTTTTAGGTAAATAACTTTTTTTTGAAGCCATCCTTTTTTTTTTTTTTGGGCAGCTGGTTAGATGGTGCTAACTGTTGTCATCAATCTCCTTTTCAACATTTAGGAAAAGAGAAAAGAGCATCCTACTTATCTTACAAAAGAAGATACTCGATATGGTTCCTTGCTTCACCAAACTAATGCATGTCTATGGCCCTAATTTGTTCTGTCTGTCTATTTAAAACAAGAAATAAGTAACAGTTGATGCGTCGTTGAGAAATGTATGATTGTCGATCTCAAAGATGCTCAAGCTATTTGAGGGAAGCTAAAAAAGAGGTGGTGGGTAGTTCCATGAACTGCTTAGTGTGCTGCCTTGATGTTCTAAGGGTACAGGTTCTATGCATTGGGTGATCTCTCTCTCTCCCTTCCCTTGATTGGACTCATTTGTACCATAACCACAGGATACCCCAGATAGTCTTTCAGAGCCTTCCCTTGCTGACTTCAGTCAATTAGCAATGTTTTTCCATGTCATGTAGGCAACACTTCAGTGCTGTCTGTTGTACTGTTGACTCTTTCTATTCATTGAGTTTGCTTTCAAATCATGTTCAGCCCTATGTTCAGATCGTCCCTTATTTGACTAAGGATTGAAAGCATGTCTGCTGTATTCTTTTAAGAGGAATTTTTCTTTGAACTAATTCGTAGTAAGTATGAACTTAGGCTTGGAACTTGTTACCGAATGGGTATTGCTGGGCTGGCAGTTAAATTGTAGCTTCAGGGCTCTTGTATTTTTTGAAAGCTAATAGATACCTCAAGAAGGGCCAAAATGCAAATAAATAGAAGTGCCATGCTAAGGAAATGTTAATATCAGACATACAAGTATGCTTGAAGAGCTTCATTTTGGCAGAAGCTAATTTTAAATGTCTTTGTCTTGAGTTTTCCTTCAGTATGTCAACTCTGTAGGTGATGACTTTGAGGTGAAAACCAATATTTGATGTCTGCAAAATGTCTGTTGACCAATTCATATATGTGGACTCAAAAGTAAACACCGTGTTGCTTGTATTAACTTTATTAGTAGTCCTTATTTTAAGTTATGTGAAACCATTGTCCGACCTAAAAGTAGACGAATAATTGTTTTAACTGGTGCAAATCTTTCTTAAACCCTGATAGAAGCAGGGTATATTTGCTAAAGGAGCCTCACTTACTGTTGAGCCTTTTGTCCTCTTGACTTATTGCATGGTTAATGAGCCCTTTGTCCTCTTGACTTATTGCATGGTTAATGAATTAAGTATCAAATTAGCACTATTCCTTGAAATTGAAGTTAGTTTTTTTTTTAAATTTAAATATCTCTGCTAATGGGTTTTCTATTACTTCATCTTAGCAAGGTGAGTGATTTGTTATGGCTGTGAGTCACCATAAGGAATTCTTTGTTGACAGGCTGAATTGATTGATCCTGCTCTAAAAGGGACTCTTAATGTTCTGGGATCATGTGCAAAATCTCCATCTGTTAAAAGAGTGGTTTAACATCCTCTATAGCTGCAGTTGCCTTCAACGGCAAGCCTCGTACTCCAGACGTGGTGGTTGATGAGACTTGGTGGTCTCTTCCTGAATTTTGCAAGCAAACGAAGGTCTGTAAATGTCACTTTCTCTTGCATGAACTTAAACAATTACTCTTGATATACTGGCATGTCTGCTGTCATGTATAGCAAACACCATTGCACTGTGTTCCATAAGCTTTTGTTTTACTTTCCTGTTGGCCTAAACTATAGATATGGCTCAGAATATAAGATACTTGAGTAGCAAATGCTCATAAACTCTCTGTAGATAAAGTGCATGTCACTAAAATAGGCTTACATGTATCACATCATAATGCCACTGAAAAATATTCAAATATGCATCAACTGAAACAATTCTGCTTGTGTGGTTTCTTTATTTCTGTTATATGAGAAGTTGAGATGTAGGGCGCTTTCAGCATTGGAGAGTCTATTTGCTTTAAATCAGATACTTTTTAAACCTTTTAACAACCATTGATAAAAGGCCGTGTTTTCATGACATCTGATGGATTCTTACCTTAAGACATTTAAGGCTGGTGCCACAATATTCATTTGTCAAGGTTTCAGGATAATTACTCCATCCTGTTTGCAATTGTCCATTTTAACTGGAGGTGTAGTTAACTGGACATCTAGTTAATGCATTAATATCTGTGACTTTTGTATAAACCTCGGAATTAAAAGTCTCGAGACAAAGCACACACGTGAAAGCAAAAAATGGATATTTCAAGGAATTTGGTAATTGGTGATATTTCACCTGTTATGGCAGGCTGTTTTCTTGAACCGTGTAAAAGGTACATGGCCAATCAAAAATGATGGAGGAAAATTTCTTCAGTTCTATGTTGGGTGTTCTTTCTGCCCTCCAAAGGATAGGCGATTGGATGATATTAAGCTTGGGCACACTATAAACTACTATTAATTAAAGATTTTACTGAAAACTGAGCAGCGTATGGTGGCAGTCTAGAACCAGAAAAATCTGTTGACAGGAAGAACTGAACCGTGTAAGCTACAAATGAACTAAAAGATATCAAAACTCCCAGACACGTAACTTAGGCTGAGCTAGTGAAAAGCCAAAAGGTGAAATTTCTGGAGGAAACCCAAAAAGGATTTTCAGATTCCCTAGGTTATAGCAAATTTTTAAGTATCTAAAGCTGTAAATTTTACAACCAGACCCTGAAATAAGTAAATCTATATAACCCTTAGCATCCAATTGTATACATGTTCCTTATTCAACTCTGTTTAGATTTTCCATCATTGTGATTTTGAGCTCATTATGGTAGGGTCATTTGCCCTACTTTAGTGTCCTAGTTATGGATAAGTAATTGAAAATTACTTTTACTGCTCTCTTCTAGCTGCTTCCACTATGTCTTGAATATCATCAACGAGAAGTTTTAGATATTTGAGGTGGCCTCTCTCTCTCTCTATCTCTCTGCGTATGAACACTGACTAACTTAAGGAACCTCTTTTGGGGGAACCTTCTTTGATGTAAATGCAATTGAGAAACAGGCACACAGTCAGAGCCCTGTGTTCGTCCCACTGCTTGGGAGCTTAAGGTTCACGTTTGTATAGGAAGAGAGTTCAGAACTCGTTTTGTGTGTGGAATTCTTATTATTATCTTTCCTAGTGGCCTAGTTTTTGCTGTTGTTATAGTTATTGGATTGTACTATAAATGTCATTTCCCAAAAAGTGTTCCAAATTTAGTTTGCCAGATCAGATGCTTTTTCTGTCTGATGGCTAACAGGAATAGGATTGAAATGGACGATGTTTCCCATATTTTTTCTGGATCTCCTCCGGAGTTGTCATCCTTAAATAAAAAAGCAATCATCTCTACTGGTGGTTTGATAATTCCAATAGGAAAGGGTACCTGTCATAAAAAAGAGGAAGAAAAACCAATGAATGCTGGTATAAAGCATCTTAATTTTGCCTCTGCTTTAGTCAATACTGGTATAAAGCATTAAAAAAGGTACCTGTTTCCATGAAATAATTGTCTAGTTCAACCCTTCGAATCATTCTCCTATATTTCTCTGTATCAGAACAAGAAGTTCCTATTGTTTACTTTGCCCAACAAGGTAAATCTACTGTTTTGTCATCTTTAGCTCTGATACCAGGAAAGTAATAGAGAATTGTGAAAGAAGTAGAAGGGAGAAAAGGGGGGAACAGCAAAAATAGAAGAGCTGTGATAACTTATCATTCAGATCCCTAGGAAGAGACAGATTTACTTATTGGCCTAAATACCCTTATTACTTCTAACAACATGCACTTTGTATCAAAATAGCTTCTTGATGCATGTTGACATTGAACCCATGGCTAAAGTGTCTACATAAATTTTCGAACTTTTAGTTGAAAGGAACCTTTTCCTGATTGAAGGACTTGTGTCCCAGATTATTAACTACCTGAAATTTCTGTCCTTGTATGGTTGCCAGACTAATACTATGTGATGCCAGAAGCTCAATATTACAATTTTTCAATTGAAGTACTCCGATAAGCGTTCCACAAAATTTATGTAAGAAAGGAGAGAAAGCGCTCATCTTCTGGATTCTGGGTTTCATAGAATGGAACTTGGAAACTAGATTACAGCTGAATGCCTCACCTTGGCTTTGGCTATAGTCATGTTATATTGTCTTGTCAGACAAGTCTATGTTTGCTTGAATGGAGCTTTAATTGGTGCACTCATTTTGTCCCATTTGTGTCTGCATGGTATTGTAATATTAAGGCAAGATGTAAAGGAAGAAATTTTTTGTATGTCTAATGATATGCTTTTATTGATTAATGAATTAGTCTTAGATAATTACTTGGTTATCTTCCATTACCATTTAGTAACTGTTGTAATTTTGTTTTCATGTCCAAATACTATACCAGAATAGCATCTTTTACCACTGGCCTGTTAAAGCATTTTAGACAAGTACCAGTTCTCTGTGCTGCACAAACTCATCAGAGAAACCCAAGTTAAAATTTTCATGAGATTTGAAGACAATTTGCTCATGATGCCTCCTAAATTGATAGAGACATATAATTGAGTAACTGTTAGCTAGACAGTCCAAGTAGTTAACATGGCTTTTGGTGTGATTTAATATTCATACTAAACATTATATTTGATGCCGGTATTTTTTCTTATTATTTTCTTCCAGTTATGGTATGTTCTCTCAAAGACATTGGCTGAGGATGCTGCCTGGAAGTTTGTAAAAGAGAAAGGTTTAGACATGGTAACGATAAACCCAGCTATGGTGATTGGGCCTCTGTTACAGCCAACACTTAACACCAGTGCTGCTGCAATTTTGAATTTAATAAACGGTATGGACATCATGAAATTATGAACTCAATTAATTTCTTGGTATATGTTCTTTTTGTTGGATCAGTGCTTATTTATTTTTTGGTGTTACAGATGTGTATGATATTCTGTTGGTCATCTTTTGATCTTTTATTCCTTGATTATGCTTTTAAGGGCAAGTGAGTGGATTGGAAAAAGGCTTTAAAGCTGACCTTTATGGTGCTAATGATGCCACTTTGCAGATGGTGGTGAAAATAATGCAGATACAGATGTTCTCAGAACATAGAAACTGACTTTTTTGTTCTTCTTCTTCTTCTTCTTTCTCTTTTCCTTTTTTTTTTCTGAGTTTTTAACTTAGCCGTATAACTTATCTTTACTTTCTCTGCCTATACTTACTCATATCTACAGCCTAGAAAACATATTTTCTTACATTTGAGTCTAAGTTGAATAAAAAAAATTAAAACACATAAAAAATAAAGAGGTGATGGTAACATTCTGGATAATAATTAATTAATAGTAGCGGAGTACTTTTGATAATATTGGTTGAGCATTCTATGGCCTAGTAGAGTTTTATGTATCCATGCTGTGAAAGTTTACCATACCAGCAACTAGTTAGCTAACTACAAGGAGTGCCTTAGATATATATGAGAGTGTGGGGACAATTTTAATCAAGATAGAACTTCTAAATCTCTGATTCAATTGAAATGAACTTGAGAATTTATGTAAAGGGCCAAAGCACCCTTGAGGTGGCCTACTTATGTACTTAAGATTAATGTGATATGGAGTTTTGCTATATTGCAAAGCCTTTCATGAGCTTTCTGCTTCTCTCATGAAGTCGAGTTTCCCAAGGTAGATGTCATGGTCATTTGGAGGTTAACTAGAGTCTAATATGTTTTTGTGCGCAGCAGAAGGTGTTTCTAAAATGATATATGTCTGTGTATATGCTCATTTTGTTGATCTTTATTTGTTGTTGCTTTTCTGGTTGAAAAATTTTGGTTCTTTTTTGTTTCTTGAAAATGTTTGTTTCAATTGGCTAGTTTTCTTGAAGGGATGTTTTACAATTGCCTTGTAATGATGTTTTACATTGTTTAGAATTCCTGATGCTTTCTTAATCAAGTATTGAAATACATGAAATATTAAGTAATCAGTATAGACATGGGTATGCTTTGAGCAAATGTTTTTCCTTCTATTTTTCTCTTTGCTTGATTATGTTCATTTGTAGAGAGAGAAGAGATGGTGATATGAAACATTTCTTTTGTGTGATTGATATTCTGTGCATTCTAATCTTAGACTGATTCATGTATTGACTGTCATTGAATACTTCATGTAATTTTCTTTCTTCCTTTAGTTTTTTTAATTTATCAGTCTGTTTTGTTGATTGTTTTCTTCTATGCTGAATGCAGGTGCAGAAACATTTCCAAATTCTTCTATGGGCTGGGTTGATGTCAAAGATGTTGCTAATGCACATATACTATAGCTTTTGAAAATCCATCTGCTAGTGGACGATACTGCCTGGTCGAAAGAGTGGTACACTACTCTGAAGTTGTGAAGATCTTGCGTGAAATTTATCCTTCCTCAAAACTTCCAGAAAAGTAAGTTCAAGCTCTGTAATTTAGATTTGACTGTGCATTTAGAGATTTACATTTGTGACATAGGATTATATTTGGAAATTTCATGCATGTCCATGTGCGTCTCAGATTTTTCTGTCAGGATCTATTATGCCTTTCATGATTTGGCCCCTTGCATAAATCATGTTTGGGACTCCTAACTGTGATACATCAGGTGTCTGCAACTAATGGCAGAATATATTTTAGGAAACTTTTTCCGTGGATAAGTATTTCAATTAACATTGTTTGCATTATCTGGATAAGTTCAGTGTTTCGTAAAAGCTTAAATACCTGAACTTACCGCCAATTGTGTTTTGGAAGTTCTTGTCAAGGGTTCTGTATGTTGAATTGACAAGTTTTTGAAGCTTTTGCTATTTGAAATCGAATTCAGTTTCAGAACGTTCAGGAAAGTTAACAGTAACTAGATAGTCAATTTATTAAGTACTTCAACTAAGAAATCTAATCCTCGTATTTCTGGTTTAGTTCTTGGAACCTTCGCTCTACGGATATGTCTTTCAGATATTAGAAAATCTTTTGGATTGAGCATATCAGGTCACATGATCATGTTGGAATTTTCATTTAGCTTGCAATTGGCTGTTTGATAACCTACTCTGATGTAGGTTGCATTCTAAAATTTCCTCTTGCTTAACTCCTGAGACCTGTTCTTTATTGGCACGATCTTCTCCCCAAACTTGTGGCTTTTCTGTCTTAAATGTGCATATTCATTCCCAAATCAATACGATGAAATCAGCTCAATACTTTGCCTTTCATGAAGACTTCTAGTCTAGATAGATTCTTACTAGAAGTCCTGTGAATTGATAATGTGTACATGACTACCATGACATCATTATAGTTTTTGCCCACTCGTGGTAAGAGCATGCATTAGTTATTCACAAATATTCAGAATTCCTTGAACACCAATCTGCATATGCACTAAGCTAGTATACTGGTTTTCTACTAATTGTTGAACCAAGAAAAGCGTCTATGCCTGGCGACCTGATTTGGTAGGATGGCAGATAGATGTGTTATTGAACATCAGGGAAATTTTTGAGGTGGCAAAAGACATGATGGATGGTCAGTTTAAATTGTTGATGTGCAAGTTTTGACCTTTCTTCATTGCAATCAGATTTTTTACCCTTGTGACCGTACCTTACTTGGAATCATGTCTAAATGGTGAGATATATACATAATATGTGAAGTTGAGCAAAATTTTACTGCATTTTTTTCCTTTAGTGCTTTATTTGATGTTGCATTGAGTGGATAAACATTCTTCATATGATTTGTACATGAAGATGTCATGCCTTGTAGTAATTCCTTTAAGGTTAATGAGATTCACGCACCCTTTTTAACATCTTGTGCATCCCCTACTATGTATTTTGGCTACTATGCCTTTCAATATAGCCTAGAGAATGTAGAAGGGGTGTGCAAGCTAAAAAGGGTGTGTGAGTATCGTTAACCTTTATTCAAGCATTATGCTTACAGCAGTACATATCCTGTACTAATGGCAATGAATTTTCCTGTCCATCACCTGCTGTTCATTTAATTTGGCTCATCAAAGACTGATGAGGAAGTAAAAAACATCACTTCTATGAGCGAACTTTTACTTGACTATTGCCCCAATTCAACACTATTTATTATTTTTATCAAGCCTTTGATGTTTTTTGGTGAATAACCTTTGTAGGTGCGCTGATGACAAGCCATTTGTGCCGACGTACCAGGTTTCCAAGGAGAAGGCAAAAAGCTTAGGTCTTGAATTCATTCCCCTTGAGCAAAGCATCAAGGAAACAGTTGAAAGCTTGAAGGAGAAGAACTTTTTGGACTCTTCTGCTGCACTTTGAATATCGCCCGAAACATGATGAGGAACATCGAGAGTTGGTAGCAGTGCCTATTGAAAATATGTTTTCCAAACCCCTATATGTACCAAGCCTCTCTGACTGACGTTACATGCATCCACAGAGATTTAGAATCTACATATGAAACAATAAAGTACTCGTCTTTTTTGCTATACTGAAAATTTGAACAGGAAAATCCTTTTGTGTTTCCTGCTGCAAATTCAAGGATATAGCAATGATGAGTAGATTTTAGTGCGTAATTATATGTTGGACGAGAATTTATAAAATCAAGGAGCAGCATTCCTTGTAATATCAGGGTAACGACTTTATAAATTATGTATGGAATTGTTATCAACAGAATTTTTTGGTACGAATTGCTTTTAGGCAGTCCACCTAAAATCAATGCGATTCCACCCTTGATGCCATTTGTTAATTGGACATGAATGGCTTTCTTTAATTTATTTTTTATTTTTGGTGGCTGAGTTCTACTTCTGAATCTGTTAACTCTGGATAGTTGGGTAAATTGGAAAAGGATTGAACTGGAGGTAAATTTCTCATGAATCTTAAACAATGAAAGTCAGGAAATAATTGATAATATTGTACTGCAAAATGAATCACAATCTGCTAGTTAATCTGGTACTAGTGTTCTCTGCGATGGGAAATTTAGTACTAATATGGTTTTGCACCTCAGTGGATCATATGAAAGTGATCCTCAGGTCTCCACTATTTTGTCTCTCCAATAAAACTGAATCACCAATGCAAGGTATATTGACATTTTTTACTTAATATTGTGAATATTATTTATTTTATATTCAAGCACTTACGTGATTCCAAACATGAATTTACATTAACTATACTAAATTAATCACATCCATAATAAAACAATCACAAATTATTATTCACTAGTAATAAGTAATAGAATAATTAGACAAGCACAAATTTGTCCTTAAACATAAAATTAACGGTAACTTATGCTATTCCTATGTTATAATTTAATGATTCCTAATTAGTATTAATGAAATACTTATTACTATTTTTTATTCACTATTCCTAGTATTACTATTACTAAGTAATTACTACTACTTACTACTTTTTTATTAATGAAACTTTTATCACAATTTTTTGTTCACTATTACTATTACTGAGTAATTACTTTTACTATTTACTATTTACTTTTACTATTCACCATTTGCCTTTTCTATTATTAACTATTTATTTTTAATATTACTATTTACTTTATTATTATTATTACCGTGACTTTTCTTTATGGTTAATATTTACTACTATTATTTTTGTTAGTACTGTTTACTTTTACTGTTACTATTACTATTTGTTAAATAGTACTTGTATTATTGCTTTGTGGTGGTACTATTTCTAGTATGACATTCAATCAATCGATCCTAAACAAGAAGATATTAAATATAATTAATAGTAACTACTTGCACTAAATAGCAACAGAAACCTTAAATACTTGTAAACCCTAAACAAGAAGATGCAATAACGTGTATTAAATAGTACTTGTACTGAACAGGCAGATATAATACAGTTAATACTAATAACACTATTAATTAATAAATTATTGCTAATTAAACTAATTCAAATACTAATCAAATGTAATAAATTAACACTAATTAAATGTAATAAACTATTGATGTAATAGTAATCTTTTAAATCAAATGTAATCAACTAACAAGCAAGCTAATAATAATAATTCAAGTCATATTCAAATGACACATGAGCTTTTGCCTACGGAACTTGTTGGTTCATTGGAGATTCTAGTGGCCCACCACCAACTTCAGTTGTCAGAATCCAATTGCTTTTTATAACTGACAAAGGAAATCGATGCGCACCAATGAGCAACAATGTATCCGAACTAACCGACTGTACCCAATGTTTTTAAACCCGGATCAGATAGGCCGGTTCGATCGATTCGACCGCGAACCGGTCATGTGTTCGGTCCGATTCATAACTTAAGTTGACTTGGATCAAGAACTGGTCAAACTCGTTAAAAAACCGTTCAAACCATTAAACCGACTCGTACCGTGAACCGCGATTTTCCAATTTTTGAGTAAAATTTGACAAAATTTCCAATTTTTGACCGAAAGTGTCTAAAGACTCTGAACGCTAATCTTCACTTCAGGGGCAAATAATTTTTTTAAGGAGTAATACTAACTCAAAGTTTCATCCTCTCTCTAGTGTAGAGGAAGCTCTCTCTTGGGGTAAGAGCCAACCTCCCTTTGGTGGGAGTTTCAGCATGTTTTCAAACCTTTTCAAAATTTACACTATCCCGCACTTTCTTCCCAAGATATTCCAACCACCACCACTACCAATCTGATTCTGTTACCAAGGTTAGATTAATGCAGCTTAAACCATCGTACTCAAGGAAATTCAAGGATGTCTCTCCAGGGGGAACACAAGGTAGTCTGAGTCCTACACTTTATGAACAGCTGAAAGCAAGGTAAAACTTGATTATCTCCTTTCCTTGCTCCCGTTTCAGAGGTAGGGCCTGTACATGTGCATTAGTTTTTACAGCGTTTATTATTTGTCTGTGTAATCTGTTTCTCTTGTCGTAAGCCTGGCTGGTCCTATTTACTGTGTTAGTTTGGTCTAGATGTGCTTGTTTTTTGTCCCCTGCTTTTTTCGCTTCTTTACTTCTTAGCTACTCTTTGTGTCTTCTCTTTTACTAAAACTTGGCTGGTAGTTGAAAAGGCGTAACTTCTAAGTTCAGAGAGATTATACCCGCTAGCATCTCAGAATATATCTATGGAGGGTGACTTAACTAAATTATTACAAAGATTTTCGCTGGAGGGGAATGAGATCTCTGGAGCTAAACTGGAGTTGGAGGACCTGAGCAGTGGAGTAAAGGACTATAAAGGAAGTCTGATAGGAAGAACCATGGGTGAGAAAATAGCTAACTTTATCGGGGTGAAGAATTTTGTGACTGCAGCATGGAGTTACCCCAAGAATCTGACAGTCATGGAATTGGGACCAAATTTGTTCCAATTTAATATCCCAAACCAAGAATGTGAAGACCTCAAAAATTTCATTATCCTCTGGAAAATTAAATCAAAATATTATTGAAAATATTAAAATTATCCAATAATATGTATTTATATTTAAATAATATTGTTTTCAATCATTCAAATGTTACATTTCAATTTATTTGAATTTTTAAGATTTAATTGACGATTCGCGTTCGGCAAAGCCCTAAGTTGAATTTTCGTGCACCGACGCGCGAATTAGTCCTAAGTTGAAATGTAGTATATGTAGAGGCTATAAAAAGGTATAATTAAGTTGGAGAAATGTTAGATGAGGAATGTGAGGACTCGCAATTTATTTCTTTTAAATTCCTATTCTGAGGTTATTTAATTAGTTAATTGTTCAATTATTTCGAATATTATTTTTTAGCCCTATTGGACCCAATTCTATAGCATTATAGCTCATGAGTAATTTTAAGGCAATTAGTTCGCAATTCAAGTCTTGAAAGTTGTCAAGTGTGAATAGTGCCCGTAGGCTCAGGAATAGTAACTGACTCGAGAGTTCATGAGCCCGAATAATGGGAGATTTATACCCTAGTCTTAAAATAGGTATTTTTATGCCTAAATATCCATGTATTAGTTAGAAATGCCATCGTTATAAGAATTTCTTAAAAATTTCACCTTATCGCGCATAAGTGGGAAATACGCGTTTTACGCGCGCGATTTATTTGAAGGACTTTAGAACCTTATTTTGAGGTCATTAAGAGTGAATGATAATTACATGAATATATGTGCATTAGAGGTTTAGTGCACAGTTAAAACAAACCTTAGAGGAAACGGGCGCGAAACGCGCGCGCGATACACTGTTCACGGTTGACTTGGGAGCACAAAAGTTGTACCACACTCAAGCTTCTCAAGGAAGCTTTCCATTTCAGATTTTTCCCTCCCTTTCCCCTCACCATAACCGCCGGTCTCTACTCTCTCTCACACTCCAAATTTCACAATTTTTCCTCCACCATTTTCTTGCTCCAATTCACACCAAATTCACCACACAAGCTCAAGACAACTTGGACAATCCCTTGGACAAAGAAGGAGCTGCACATTCACGGATTTTCTTGGGGCTTTTGGGACACCAAAATCTGACCTTTTAGCACACAAGTAAGGTAACCATGATCCACTCTTCAATTCTTGTTCAATGAAGGCCAACTCACACTTAAGAGCTTGATTATGCTTATGGGTAGCTTATTATTGTTGGAAATTGTTGAATGTGGGCTCTATGAACTCCCACTTTGAGTTGATGGCTGTGATGATGTTTGATGATGGTTTTATTGTTGAATTAGTGCTTAAGGAAGTAGATTAAAGGTGCATTATTGCTAGAAACTTCATTGAGCTCTTGAAGCAAAAAGTTCTGATTCTGCCCCTGCCAAGACCGACCTTTTTCATGCGAAATTCTGAGGTTTTAAAGGCTTGTATTTGATGTTTATGTGTTGTTGGAGTTGTGTGTAAAGTTTCATTGAAAGATATTGAGGTTTGGTTGACCAAAGGTGATGAATTCCAAAACCAGCAAAATCTGGAAATTTTTCCCGTATGGCTCAGGCAGCCATTTTGTTTCGATCATAACTCTGCCCTCCGACATCGAAATTGAGTGCCATTAGCGCCATTAGAAACTAGACTCTTCCAGCTTTCCAACGGTGTAAAATTCACGTCCTGGTTCCACCTGAGTGAACCGTGGCAGTCTTTAAAGTCACCTGTCCTGCTCCACTGGTTCACTGGAAGCCAGGATATGAGCTGCGTTTTGTTGCCAGATTTCGAGCTAGTTATGAGTAGAATTTTAAAACGATTTCTTCTGAAAAATTGTATCCCTATGAGTGTAGTTTCCAACGCTACCAACCATGCTCAAATCTAAGTTGAATTGAATGAGATGTGACCAAAATACGAAAACTGCTCTGCTATTGAACCAAACTGTCCAAATTTTCCCAGTTTGTGTTCGAGTTTCTGATCTGATTCTTGACAAGAAATTGAGCTTCATGGATTGTGTAAATGTTAAGCTGAATGTCTATGGTCATTTGAGGGAAAATGCACCACTTTCGTAGTTGAAATGATGTTGAGGAATTGAAGGAAAAGGAAGGTATATGCTGTCCAAAAAATTCTGGAAATTTTCCAGATTTTAGTCGCATTTTGGGGGTCAATTTTGACAAATTTTTGAACTACTTGGGCTGTATACATGTTAAACTATATGGGTAGTATTTTTTGGGTGAAAATGTAGCTTTTGGGTAGTTGAAAAATTTTGGATAAATTGAAGGGGAAATGGACTACTTGCTACCGAATGCACCTGAAATTTTTCCAGCTTTGAATGATAATTGTGAACTGTTTTCACGATAACTTGAGCTCAAATGATTTGTGTATTAATTAAGGGGTTTGTATAGCTCAATTTGGGACAAAAATCTAGTAGAGGTTACGTCCAAAAAGTGGACCAAAA